AATCCTTTATGAGTCAGGTTTTGAGTACAAGTTGTTTTTTTTTTTTTTATCACCTAATGGTCTTTAAGTCCTTGAAGATGATCTATGTACTGTGTGATACTTTTATTATATTCCCTCCTTTCCTTTTTGAAAAGGACAGTGAATGAGATTAACTTTTGTTTATTTGTTTTTTAGATTCAGAATATGAACAACATAATTTCTTTCCCTTTGGACAGTTTGCTGAAAGGAGACCTGAAAGGAGTTAAAGGGGTATGGCAACTTCATATTTTTAATCGTTAAATAGTACTTTTTTCCATGATCTAGAATTAAGGATAATATTAACCTACTAAGGCAGTCAGCTCATATATTCATTATGTTTTTAATATGGGGGGGTGGGGAATGGGAAAGACAAGATGGTCATCTCTTCTCCACATTTGCTTTTATTTGCTATCTTATTGGCATCATGAGTCAAAGAATGGGCACTCTTGGTCTTTATAGTTTCAGCCTGACATGTATAAACATACAATGGGTACTAGCAGAGGAGAGGATAATGTGTTTATAGAAAGTAATAAATAGCTTCAGTAAGGATTTTGGAGTCATAACCACACTTGGGACCTTTGGGATTTGGTAATGTCTGCTGTTACCCTGGGCATTTCCATAGCTATAGTCTAACATCTGAGCCAGCTAAATAGGACTTTCTTCTTGCTTTGAATTGGGGGTGGGGGGAGGAAATGGGTAGGATAAGAAGAAAGGAGAAAGAGGAGAAGGAGATGGGCACATCGAGCATCCTAATGGACTGGAATATTCACATTCATTGGTTGGTAGAATTGTCATTCAGCTTCAAGCAAGCCAACAAACAATTAAGAACTGATTGTCTGCTCAGCCAGCCATTTGAATCAGGGAAAAAGAAATTACCTCCTCACCACATTTTTATATGTTCTATAACTATTTCTGGGGTCTCATTATTATACCATTCCTGCATATGGCACTGACTAAAGTCCATCAGGGAGACCTGCCCTCAAATAGTAATTTTCCTGGTTTGTGTGCTGCTCATCTGTTACAAGAAGAATGTGAGTTCCCACACAGTGATGCAGTCTTGAAAAACCTGCATTTTTGAGGCATAAACTGGTTTAATTTAAAAATCTTCCAAATTATATATGCCCTTGAGCTGAAAATTTTCTGGTTTTGACATGTTGATTTTAAACACCAAGCTCTGAATTGTTTTTAGAATATGCAGCTGAGTAAGGAAGGATCAGGGTTATATCAGGTTAAGAAAGCATGGATAAATTGTTTTTGCAAAAAGATTGAATTCGGTCAAAATGGAGACCTAGCAACAAAGAAAATAATATAGCTTCATTTATTTTAGGGATTGCCCACTCTTTAGTGCACCTGATCTGAATAAAGTTAAAAGCACTGCTCTCAATCATGCAAATGTAGTCAGTTGTAAAGACCCCACAGCTAGCTGTTTCACTGTGTTCTTTACCACTTACCTCACCTCACCTCAGAACTTTGAGAAATAATGATCTAGGCCCCCACTCAGGAGGCATGCACAAGACTGTTGGGATCATTTAGTGGACAGGTTAACCATCTAGTAATTTTTTTCCTAGTCAGTGGAGGATGCAATGAGCAAACATAGATAATTACTGTTTCCTCTTTTGAGTGAATCATTCTATACTTAGAGTCACTTCTTAGTCTAGACTCTGTGTCCATCACATACATCCTCTTTTTAGACTCTTCATATAAGATAGATATAGACAGATAGAAAGACAAACAAATCGTGGTAGTAGTTTGAACTGATAATTCATTTAATTAACTTTCTGAAAGTAAAATGGCTCAACAATTTAGAATGATATGTAGATGAATAAATTTTGTGTGTGTGTATACACACACTTATATGTATATGCATATATTCAGAAGGATGCTGGGTCATTTCTTTAGAAAAAGGAGTAGCCCTTTTATTAACAGTATCAGCTCTTATCTACTTAAGAACATGTACTTTAGGTAGATTCATTGTAGTTTATGGAATCTCATTACAACCTAATCGTAATAATTAATTATCTCTTAAAGTATATAACTATGGTAAGTGGGAGTATTTCGTAGTTAATACTTAGCCATATCTAATTTGTGCTCTGTGTTTACAGGATCTGAAAAAGCCTTTTGACAAAGCTTGGAAGGACTATGAAACAAAAGTGTAAGTGTTTTCCCTTTTAGAAATAAATGCAGAGTTTAGTTTCTAGATTAAAGCTGAGCTGTAGTTCTCAAAGGGATTTTAAAGAGTGGTTAGTCCACAGAGGAAAGTATCCATATTGCTGTGGTTATGCTTTGTGATATCAGATGCTTGAGTAGTTTGAAATTAAGGTTTGGGTTCAAATTCCGATTCTGCCTATTCCTGTGTGACTATGGGTAAGTAATTTTTCTACTTTGGGCCTCAGTTTCTTCATCTGTAAAATGAGGACATTGGGCTAAATAATCAAAGCTTTCTGCCAAACTTCTACAATCCTATGACTTTCCATTTAAAAAATTAATATTGTAAATACATATTTATGTTCCCTATCCTTTCATTCTAAATTATTGAAGAAATTACTTTCAGAAAGTTAATTAACTCTCAGTTAAAATCATTGATATGATTTTTTTAAAAGATGCTATATCCATTTCATCATTCACAATGTCAGGGTTTTCTATTTTCCCAGGGGCCCTGAGTGGTTTCTGAGAGTTGTATGCACTCTTTCTGCTTTATGTATGTCTTTTGCACCATCATTTTCTCTGGAGAGATCTGAGAGAATTTGAACAACCACCTGGTTTGAATAGAAGCAGCAGAAGTGAGTAGGTGGAGGGTAACCCAGCAAGCTTGGACATGGAGGGTAAAAGACATGGGTGCACATTTTTGTTCTACCATTTCCAACCTGTGTGTCCTTGGGCAAACATTTCTTCACCTCAGTGCAGCAGTTTTTTCACCTGTAAATGAGGAGTTGGATTTTAATTAATGAATTGGATAAAAGCATAAACTGAACATTACTTAGTTTTTCAGATGATATGAAGTTGGGAAGATAATAACTAACTTGTTGGGTGAAAAAGTCAAGATCCAAAGCAATACCCAGAATGCTGAAATGTCAAGTTGAATCTAGTTAGATAAAATTTGCAAAATCTTAAACTTAGGTTCAGCAGTCAACTTTATAGGGATAGGTTGATGGAGGATACATGTATGAATAGGCGTCATTTTATCTGAAAAAATCCAGGGTTTTTAGTGGACTGCAAGCTCAGTGAATTAGCAGTAGTGTTTGGAAGCCAAGAAAACGAATGCATTCTCAGCCTACATTAAACAAATAACATAGTAGAGTCTGGGACTAGGTAAAAAATAGTCCATCTGTACTTTTGTACTTCGGGAGTTCTAGAGGCAACTAGGTGGCGCAGTGGAGAGAGTGCCAGGCCTGAAGTCAGGAAGACTTCTCTTTGTGAGTTCAAAACTGGTCTCAGGCACTTACTAGCTGTGTGACTCTGGGCAAGTCACTTAACCCTGTTCACCTCAGTTCCTCGTCTGTAAGATTAGCTGGAAAAGGAAATGGCGAACCGGGTCATAAAGAGTCAGACATAACTGAAACAACTTCTTTGGGAGTGTTATGATTAGTTCTTGGTGCCATAATTTGGGAAGAACATTGATAAGGTATAAAATGTAACAAGTGGCTAGGATGGCAGTGAGTCTTGAGATTATGACAATATCAGTTGAATAATAATAACGATAATAATGATAGCCTTTATATAGTACTTGAAAGTTTGCAGAATACTTTACAAATATTATCTCATTTTACCCTCATATCAGCCTGAAAGGTAGATGCTATTATTACCTCTGTTTTATAGATGAGGAAACAGTCTCATTGAAGTGAAATATTTGCCTACAGTCATATAGCTAGTAAGTGTCTGAGGAACTGGGGATATTGAGTCTGGAGAAGAGAAGACTTGGGGAGGGGTTGGAGCAAAACAACTGTCTTCAAGTATTTGAGAGACTATCATATGAATAAGGGATGAGACTTGTTTTGGTTGGCCACAACTAGAGGTAGTGTCTCGATGTGGCATAAAGGTGTATTTAGGCTTGAGGTAAGGAAAGGCCTTAACAATAGGGCCATCAAAAAAGAGAAGGGACAGATATAGGAAATAATGAGTTCTCTCACACCAGACAACTTCTAGTAAAGACTGACTAGCCGCCTGTCAAAAGTATTGCAGATTTTTTGGTTCTGGTCTGGCTTAGAGAAGATGGATTTTTATGGCACTTGTGAATCTGATTCTAAAAATCCTAGTAGATGTTTTTTTCCAGTTCTTTCCAGTTAAATCTTGGTGACTTTACTGAACGCAAATACATTTGTCTATTTATGTTTTGTCCTAGACTTTTAAGTGAACTATTCAGTTTTGGAACTTACCTGCTCCCTGTCCCCCACGCCACGTAAAAACTACTGTTATTGACTCAAAACAATTTACAATTTCTGTGCTGCTTTCACCATTATAAAATGGGGAGACTTATTAATATATTGATTTGAATATAAGCTGCTTATGAAAATAAATTGTCACCAATAATAGACTGTACTGCTAAAAAGATACTTTTCTGTCACTTTCAGTTTCATCAATAATTTGTTTTTAAAACGTAAATGTACAGATTACTCCTGCTTTTTGAGAGGTCTTTTGTAACAAAGTAAAAGTTAAGTAAAACTAATAATCTATTGACCTCATCTGAAAGTGCATGCGACATTTCACATCTTTAGCACCCCATCTTCTCTGTTCTTAAAAAGTTAATGAACCTGTTTTCTCTTCATTCTTATTTTAAAATACATTTAAGAAAATTTTTGTAACATATGTATAGTCAAGCAAAACCAATTTCTCCATTGGCTATATACGTGTGTGTGTGTGTGTGTGTGTGTGTGTGTGTGTGTGTGTGTGTGTGAGAGAGAGAGAGAGAGATCCCATACCCCAAATTCAACACTTCTCTGTAACAGGTAGCGTGCTTTCATCATAGGTCCTCTGGAATCATGAATGGTCATTGTATTGATCATAGTTCTTACAGCTTTCAAATTTGGTTGTTTTGACAGTGTTGTTGTTATTGTACAAATTGTTTTCCTGGTTCTGCTCATTTTATTCTTCATGAGTTTATAGAAGTCCTCAAAAATGTTTATTTTTATAATATTGATGTTAATATATAGGTATATATTGGAAACAATTGCACAAAATTACTAAAATTTAAAAATATTTTAAAAATACTTCCTTCACTTTAAATAAGTGTTTCAGTCCCTTTTATAATCACTACTGTCTTCATATTTTTGTTGTCTTTCTTTCAGTAATAGTGAGATATTATAAGCTTCATTCAGGTTTTGTTCAAGCTAGATTTAGAGAAAACATGGCCTGTATTCAGATCACTGTGGTATCTAGGTAACAGAGCTATGAGGCTTACTGGTTCCAGTAATGATTGTCACAAAATATTTGAGAAATACAGAACTTTGCATGATTTTTTTTTTCTTGCCCACTGAAGAAAGAATGGTGAAGATGGGGAGAAGATCTGAGGAACCAATGGATAAAAGTTGTAGAGAGACGTTAATGGGGATAAAGCAAACAGGGCATCTACACACAACAGTCCCTTCCTAAAAATAAAACAGAAAACACAACAAAACTCAACCTAACTGATTTCCGATGTGTTTGACAGTGTGCTTACTGATTGACAAAAGGATGTTATGCTACTGGGCTGCCTTCAGCCTTTCCCTCTAGTCTGCCTTCCACATGACTGCTTGAGTAACGTTCCTAAGACAGTGTCATGATTGTGCCACTTCTCTACTCAGAAGCCTTTAGTAGCTCATCATTGCCTGCCAAATAACGTTTAAACTCTTGACTTAGGGTCTCAAGGCCCTCCACTTCCTGCCTCCAGCACTACTTGTTCATCTATCTTTTCTTTCATGTGTTTTTGTTCTATTCAAATGGGACTATCTTCCGTCCTCTATTCTGTCCTACTTCTTTCCTCCCTGTGCTTTAACTCATAATGTTTCCCATGCTTGCAATAATCTATCTTTCATCCCTGTCTGTTAGTTATTTCCCTTTTATTCAAGTCCCAACTTGAGTCGCCTTTTCCATGAAACCTTCTCTGATTCTTTCTCCTCCCTCCCCCAGACAGAAGTATTTTCTCCTCTTCCCCTCACTTCTTTCTCCTCTTGATTCTCCTCCCCCTCTTCCTTTCCCTAACTCCCTTTTCACTTTCTCATTCCTCAAATTTCTCATAGCACTTTGACTTTTCTCTGGCTGCATTGCCATTTGCCTTTTGTTCTATTTATTTCTGTCCTTCCTGTATCCCTCCTCCATTAGAATTTAAGCTCTTCAGGGCAAATGTTATGTCCTTTGTACCTCCAGGGCCTTACACATCTTAATGCATGTTTGCTAAATAGAATTAAGTCCCTAAAATAACCCCAGTAGTCAAACAGGGTTGGCCTTGTTATCCCTGCTTTATCAAATAAGGAGCCTGAGAGGGAGAATGCTTACATGATTTGTCCAGAGTTCTCTAACAAGTTAAAGGCAAAACCTGTAGTAGAACCTAGTTTTCCTGACTGCCAGGCCTATAGTCTTTCCACCACATCACCCAGCCTCTTGTAGTAGAAAGAGAATTATTTGTGGGAAGCATTCTAAAGGATGCAGTGGTTTCCATGCAGGAATAACTTGAAAGGTTTGGGTCTCTAGTCTAGGAGGTAGAGACCGATTTGATAGAAACTTCGGAAGTCATGAAGTAGATGAAGGGAGTTTGGAATTGTTCGGGGAATCCCAGGATATTGTAATCAAGAAGTACTCCAATTAAGAAGAGACTTTTAGGATAAAGAGAGGTAATTCCGTACAGAAGAAACTCCTTCTTGAAAAGGCTTTAAACAAAGACATTCAATAAGGGTTTCGATAAATTCAAGGACAATATGGCCATCCCCAGCCATATTGAGAGAAATTAGTTCGATGACTTTAATCTATAGAGGCATAGTATATCGTAGCCTGAAGGAACCTTGGAGATCATCTTAACCAACCCTTTCATTCTGTAGATGAAGAAACTGAGGCCCAAGGAAAACAAGTGACGTGTCTAAGGTCACACAGGTTGTACATCCCAAATCTCCTTACTTCCAGTTCATTACTCATCTCATTCCACTTCATCAAGATGCAACCTTTGCCATCGATAGGACTTTGGTCTTGTTTCATGTGCTTTATTCTCATACTTTTCTGCCAATGCCTCCACTCAAACAATAGTAACTAATCTAGGGCATAGGCAGATGGGAGGAGAGAAATTGATGGAAAGTCTAATGTAGCAGCAACAGCAGAGTAGAGTGGCAATATGACTGACTGGTTAAGTCATGGCTGTGGTGATAGGGAGGCAGACCAGATGGCCTGGCATGCTACCTGCTGGCATATGCTGGAAGTTGCTGACCTCTGTTATCCTCCTGGCTTCTATCCCATGTGGCTAAATTTAGTTCATTATTACTACAGTTAGGACAAGAGTAGGGAATCTTATGATGAGAGCTACTGGCTTAACGAAAGAGTCCATCAAAGGTCAATTATAAGCAAAAAAAGAAAAAGTAATTTAATTCATTGTGGGTATTTTTTCCCTTGGAGAAAAGAAAACATTCAACTTAAGTGCTTTTTAAATTACGAACAGGGAACGTAAAACTCAATTCCACATCAGCCCCCTAGGGAGAAATTAGTCTCTGGGTGGCAGCAGCAGTGATCAGAGCAGTATTAGCCCCTTGAGCAGAATGAAATCAAACTGAGGGCCAAATTGGGCCCCTGGGTCAGATACTCTCCTCTCTGGCCTAGACAGTTATAAAGTTCCTGAAGACAGGTTGGTATTGTTAATATTTTAGGACAGGTCTAAGAAACCCACATTCTTAAAGCTAGAACAGGCCTTTGAGATCATCCTGTCCAACTCTGTCATTTGACCAAGTAGGGGACTGAGTCCCTGCAAAAGTGAAGTGATTTGGCTTAGGTCACGCAGAATCAGGACTAAGACCTAATTATTCTGATTCACAGTCTAGCGTTCTTTCTCTTTATTCAGTTCAAGTAAGGAAACATTAAGTGCTTAGCATGCGCAGGATACATTTTGTGTGTGTGTCGAGGGGGAAGGAAGGGGGATTTCAGTTGTTTTCAGTTGTGTTTGATTTTTTGTGACCCCATTTGAGGTTTTCTTTTCAAAGATACTAGAGTGGTTTGCCATTTCATTCTCCAGTTCATTTTATAGATGAGGAACTGAGGCAAACAGGTTAAATGACTTGCCCAGGGTCACACAGCTACTAAGTGTCTGAGGTCAGAATTGAACACATGAAGATGAGTCTTCCTTACTCTGGACCCAGCATTCTATCCACTGTACCATCTTTTCTTTCTCTCTCTCTCTCCCTTTTTCTCTCTCTCTCTCTCTCTCCCTCCCTCCCTCCCTCTATCTCTCTTTCTGTGTGTGTGTGTGTGTAAAGGAAAATAGAAAGTGGTAGAAAGCTACACTGAAGTTTTCCTACCTCTATTTTAGGAGAATACAGGTGATTAATTCAACATGGAGAAATTACTTTCAAGAAGTTCAGAACCTGTCCTACAACTTCTCTATCTATACCTCTTCTATGGCACATATTACCTGTTGTAGTTACATTTCTGTCTAGGTTTTGTTTCCCCAATTGACGTGGTGAACTTCTTGAGAGCAGGGATTTTGTTTTATTCATGTTTGTAGCCTGATGACTTTGTACAGCTCTGCCTTACTCATCTGATTCACACATAAGTCAAGATATAACCCCTTAGTAATGTCGTTGACTCTCTTCGAGAATAAAGGACCGACAACAATAATATAACATGTAGCCTTGTAACACTTACGACAAAGTGCATTGCACATAGTAGTTGCTCAACAAATATTGTTGAATTAAGTTGAACTAAGTAGGCATTATAAAGCTTTTTGAGGATCATAGGATTTATGTGGCAGCTAGGTGGCGCAGTGGATAGAGCACTGGTCCTGGAATCAGGAGGACCTGAGTTCAAATGCGGCCTCAGACACTTGACACTTACTAGCTGTGTGACCCTGGGCAAGTCACTTAACCCTGATTGCCTCACAAAGGGAAAAAAAAAAAGAGGATCACAGGATTAAGAACTAGAAAAAATGTTAAAGATTATCTGGTCTTCAGATAATCTGAGATAACCTGGGATCCAGAGGGAGAAGGTGTGTGTGTGAATTGACTTGGCCAGAGTCTTTGGCATGCATAGCAGAATTAAGATTCAAACTCAAATCCTATGACTACAAATTAGTGCTGTACAGGCCATGCTACGGAATGATATTGGTCTCTGCAGGCTGTGTAGTAAGCAGGGGGGCCTGTAGGTAGGCTGCTCTGAATCCTTAGGTCAATAGGCAACTTGATTTATTGCTGCTGTTTTTCCCCCAGGACAAAAATAGAAAAGGAGAAAAAGGAACATGCCAAGCTTCATGGGATGATTCGCACTGAAATAAGTGGAGCTGAAATTGCTGAAGAAATGGAGAAAGAAAGGAGGTTCTTCCAGCTACAAATGTGCGAGGTAAGATGCTGAACAAGCACAGATGTCCAGTGCTGGTAAAGAGCCTGGGAAGCAAATGAAAATTTGCTTTTATGTCTCATTAGGAGTCTTGCAGGTAGACTTATCCTTTTCCAAGGGAGCTTGTTTTTGTTTTTTAAAGAGAACTATTGGGCCCAAGGGCAACAGAGTTATTGGATCCAATTTTTCCCAATGACTTTAGCACATTAATTTTAATGAAGGAACTTAAGTCTTCTGTAGCTTGGGACTGGAATGGTCTAACACTGGAGCATTCATTGATG